AGGTTAGTAACACATCATCAATGTAGTGAAACATTGTGTCCGTGCTGGGCCTAGTCCACCCGGCTAGGCCCCCAGCCACCAAACCATGACAGATGGTTGGGCTATACAGATAACCTTGGGGCAATACTTGAAAGGTCCACTGTCTTCCTTCTCAGGTGAAGGCGAACTGATCTTGACTATCAGCCGAGATTAAAGTAGAGAAAAAAGCATTTGCAAGGTCCAATACATAATGATAAGTTCCCAGCTGAGTTGTCAGCTGATCCATCAAGTTATGAACTGAAGGCACGGCTGCACGCAAAGGAGGCTCTACTTTGTTCAGTTCTCGATAATCTACAGTCATTCTCCAAGTACCGTCAGGCTTTTTCACTGGCCATACTGAAGCATTAAATGGGCTATGAGCTGGACAAATAATGCCAACTTTTTCTAACTCCAATGTAGTGGCACTTATCTCTGCATGTCCTGGTAGGCAATACTGCTTTACATTAACCAAATGTCTTGGCTTGGGTAACACCTGTGGGTCATGTTTAGCATGTCCTTGTAACACAGGCTTTACTGTCCATACTTGCAGCCGAAACGCTCCAACTGTTGTTTGCAACTGCAAGCCATAAAGTACATCCATACCCAAGATGTATTCAGCTACGGGGGCTACATATACAGTATATGCAGAAGGACGTAATCTTCCTATGCTCAATGGCAATGACACGGCTTTGACCTCAATTGTATGTCCTCCATAGCCATCTATATGAGCTGTGACCCCTGGAAACTTATCTGGATTGCCATATATCAGGCTACATTCTGCATCTGTATCCACCAATGCCAAAACACACGGCACATTAGTCCTTGACCAGTGTATTGCCAATTCAACATGAGGCCTCGGGTCCTCGCTTGCCCCCAAGATGAGCACCTTGGCCTGCTCCCTAATCAAAATGGAACAGTTCACTCGCATCCTCGGGAGCAACCAAAAAATCTTTTAAACCCACTGAGCATACCTTGCTACCTGTTTCCTGACATTTGGTGAAATGCTGTTCAGGGCATAATCGCTGCCACAAGGCAAACAGGACCGCATTTAGCTGCTGGTCAATTTTCTTGCTATCAACCCCTGCTGCAAGCAAGTCAAGCCACATCTGCTTATGGCTAGTCTTGCTTGGTCCCTTCGGGATAAAATCCCAAGCATTTCTTGGGGGTTGGGTCTTAGCCACCTTCTGGACTTCTTTTGCTTGTCTTCTATCCTCTACTTCACCCAAACTGGCTATCATAGCCATTACCTCATGTATAGGATGACCAATGTATGGGGCCAGTATGGCCATCAGTGACCCAAAGGATGTTGATGGGGCATTTTGCAGCACTATGTCTCTCATGCTGCCTGTAAAATTTTCATCGTCTGGGCCACGAGTGTTCACATTAAACATGGACTGCTGCATCCCCAGCTCTCGAATAATTTGGACCAGCTCAGTATATGTTTGCCATTTACTAATGGTCTTGGGCAGTTCTCCAGCATTTGTCCACACAGTTTGGGAAGGTGCATCACCCAGTCCATCAAGGAGTGATTACCTGGCCCTTGTGCATATCTGCAGCTATTCTGCAGCCATTGCCTCAGGGTCAGGTGTATGGTAATGGAGGCCAACTTCTCCATCTCCTCACCAGAGCATACCCATAACCATAACAGCCAAGCAGCCAGGGTCTCCCCATGTTTCTGCCTGAACTGTCTCCCCAAGTCAACCAGTTCAACCTGTATGTACAGGACATAGGTGGTGAACTGGGTCACCTGTGGATCACGCACCGGTTGTCCATCCAGTCCCATAGGCTGCTTCTGCCTCAATTTCTTGTGCACAACAGGTCGTGCCTGGAGACGCACAGTCTCCCCCAACTCACCACCAGGTTCGTCGTTCTCCCTGGTGTGAGAAGCAGGAGTGGCCAGTTGCTGCACGTTGTCCTCCAGGACGTTTATCCATGCTTCCAACAACTCTGCTTTTAGCTTCGAATCTTCCAGTAGCTGTACATCATCCGCCAACAACTCTGTTTTCTGCCACAAATCTTGATCAGTTTGCATCATAGTGAGCAGCAGCCAGGCTCTAGTCAGCAGAAAAGTGGCCACTGGGCACCACATGCTCAGGATAGCCACATTTCCTCCCATTCCCAAGGGGTTTTCTGCCATAGTGCCTGGTCTATGCATCCTTGCAATACAGTGAGCAGCAACCAGATCCCAGTCAACAGGAAGGTAGTCATAGGGCAGAGCATATTCAAAAGTAGCCACATTTCCTTCTTCTTTCAAGGGATTTTGGCTCCTGTACTTGCTCAGAATCCTGTCGCAGACTACGCCAATTGTCAAGCTCTTTTACCCACCTGTAATCCTGCCAATTGTCGAGCTAGGGCTGGGTCTGGAGCTCACAGACCCCTAATGCCCATTGTCCAGCCTGGGTCACAAACCCTTCACACGCAGGTCTATGAGCTAGATAACTGGCAAAAAGGTCCTTGGAGCCACTGGTTCAAGAGCATAGCCATGCAGAAGGGATGCCCAAGGCAGTCAACAGCAGCCGAGACCGTGGTGCTGTGCATGTGCACTAACTCCACTCACACACAACTTGTTTACAAAGAATGCACCACACCACCCCCAACCAGACCTAAGGCGATGGGGCCTGATTAAATTATTCTATTTTCCCAACAGTAACTTTTCCTCAACAAAGGAAATCCTTTTAAATAATAATGTAGAACCATCTACTCATTTGTTTGTTTATTTTTTTCATTCATTTGTTCAACAAATATTCAGTGCTACAGGCACAGAATTCCTAGACCTCACATACCTTTCCTTTCTAGTGGGAGATTTAGTCAGTAGGCAGGCAGTTAGTGGGCAATATGATTAAAAAATGGGATGGAGAAAAATTAGAGACTACAGATGTACTCAGGAAAGGCACCTTGTCCATGTTTGGAAGAGCCAGAGGGACTTCTTGGAGGGAGTGATGTCTAATAGGAGACCTAACTATTGAGTTGAACTTTAGCACATGTGAAGATTTGGAAGCAAAAGAGACTGATTTGGAGGAGGATCTGAGATCAGTGTGACCCAAAGAGTTTCAAAAAGGTGCATGGAAAGAAACAGAGTTGGAGAAGAAAGCAAGGGCCAGATTATCCCTGTCTTCCTTTACACTTTACGATGGGTCCAGCACACGGAAATCACAGGTAGCCTCTGTAGTCCCACTATGAAGAAAGACAGAAGACTTTACAGACAGAGAAAATCAAGCCACTGGAGAATAATTTTCATGGTACAAAGTCTTCATAAGGCTCTTAATTTCCTCTGAGTTGTCATGAATTTGACCATCAGATATGCTCATACCTGCATTCCAAATCCTGCCACTGATTCCCTCCCTCTGTTAAAGCAGATGTTGGAACTTACTAACATCCAATATCCAGATTTCTATCTTTTTCAAAATCCTTACGTGCCTGATACTATTGTAATACTATGGGTAATATTTTAATAGGCAAATTATGCTATATCATCTGCTACAAAGAGACAAAAATCTTTCAACTCCAACCTTAAAGTCAGCTGAATTAAAGTATTCTAGAATGCTCAGTAAGGTATTAATTTGAGAATAATTTTGCAAGATGAACAAGGGGAGAAGCTAATTGTCTTTCAAAATAATCTATTTTCCTCCTCCCAGGATTGTTCATGCTATTCCCTTTGCTAAAAGTGCTGTCTGTAACCTTTATCCTTCAATGTCCCTTTTTGCATCCTTTGGCCATTTGAATGTTTGTTTCACAGAGGAACTAACCATATCTTTCAGTTCTTTTGTACAACTACTTTACTTGTCATGTGTTTAAAACAGTTTTACTAGATTTAATAGACAGGAGTCCACCTTAGTCTTTTTGTGCACTATAGCACTTAGCATGGGGCACATGCTGTTTAATTGATAATGATAAAATATTTATACAGAAGGGTCATGAAAGAATTTAAATGTCTAATACTCCCCAACTTTGACAAGAAAAAACATCGAAGCATATGCTTTCTAAGTAACTGAATGTTGCTGAGTAATTAACATGCTACAGTTTCTAAAGATAAAGCTGTTACATGGGCTTTTTCTATCCAATATTCTGAAATCAGAAATGTCAGGTGAGGGCTTCTGCAGTGAAACGTGCAGTCTCTAGTTGGAGAAACTCTGTCGGAAGTGAAACTAACCAAAGGAAGGATATGAGCACCAGTCTCATCCTGTATTATAATGTATGCACATTATTACACATAAGGAGAGTCTCTTAATATCTTTATGTATTTTTGCTAAGTATCCCCTTAAAAAGACAATAATCATGAATCCACTTAGATAACTCATCTGCTCCCTAAATGAGTTCATATATGATAAAGTGCTGAGGACATAGAAAGCACTCAGCAAATATCAGTTTTTGCTCTTGGTTTTTATATTGTTTCATTCTTTAGAGATGTGCTGACCACTAGCCACATGTGTCTATTGAGCACTTGAGATGTTACTTTTCCATATTGAGATGTGCTCTCAGTATAAAATGTACACTGAATTTCAAACACTTAGGTAGGGAAAAAGAAATGTCAAATAGCTCATTAACAGTTTTTATACTGACTACATGCTAGTTTGGAGATGTTGAATTAATTAAATCTTAAATATAGTATTGAGTAAATATTATTAAAATTAATTTCACCTGCTGCTTTTTATTTTATTACCATGGCTGATTACTAGAAAACTTTAAATTACATATGTAGCTCACATTCCTGGTTTGCATTATACTCATGTCTCTATTGAACAGCACTGCTTTAGAGAGACCTCCAAGGGTGTGTGGCACAGCAGCTCTGTTGTAGACATTATCAAGGATCTTGATCAGTTAAGAGGAAAGAAAACAGGTCAAATTATAGCTGAACAAATATGACCTATTCACTAATAAAAAAAGGAAGTTAAATGTGTTTTTCACTGTTTTGTGCTCAGTTTTTTCTTTAGGACAGTATACTTAACATTTTATCTCTAATAAAAAAAAAATTCTATTTCTAGGTTACTGGTTGGTTCACCGTGGAGTGGCTTTCCTGAGAACCGAATGGGAGATGTGTATAAATGTCCTGTTGACTTATCCACTGCTACGTGTGAAAAACTGAATTTGCAAAGTAAGTTGTAATTAGCAATGTGATTTTTTACAGATAGCAAAATCTCACTTATTATGTACTCAGCTGAAAAATTATAGACATAGTAGTCATTGTTCTGTCTTAAAGAAATATAGATAGCTTTTTTGCCTTTATCTCTTTAATCATATGGAGCCCAGTTGTATCCAAATTTCCCAAAGAGTTTGAAGACCTGATTTAACAAGATGCATAGGAAATGTGCTGCCTCCTGAACCGTCTAGCCCCAGACCATGGACAGATTTCCATAAACGTTTAGGATTATTTCACTGATTACTTGCAGAAATTTGAGGCTATCCATATTTATCCCTCCTCTCCTCAAATCAAACCATTAAGAATAGAAATACCAGTACGAAGGCTGAGTTCGGAGGTATCAAGAAACACTCTGTGGTTTCGATTATGTCTTGATGATTGCATTCTAATTTTAAAAACCCACAATTGGCATTATTTGCTGTTCTAATCCACATCTCAGTTGCCTTCTATTAATGCAAAACATTACTAAATGTGTAAAACTAGAAAGCTAAATGAGTGATACATATTTCCACACAATATTTCCTGATGTAAGTGAGAAGTCACTCAATTCTATCATCACGTCAGCAGCAGCAGCATCCAAAAAAAAAAAAAAAAAGGCCAGCACTAAGGAGTTAGAGCTCTCCTGAAGAATTAAGACATGAATTAGGAAAATACAGTGTTTTGGAAATCAAGGGAAAGAAGAGTTTCAAAAAAAGACTTGGAAACAGGGAAGGAGCGCTTCTCACATATGTCGCAAACCTAATTTCTAGCATAATTTGTTGCACTTATTAAGGGCTTAAATATTTTCAGTGACATGGAAGGATTATCATTGGTGTTAAATGCTACAGAGGGCGAAGGGTGTGAGGCCTGAGTAAAGATCTTCAGCTTATTTAAGGAGGTTTTGGGTGATCTACATCAGTGCTCTCCAAACATTTTGAACACTTACCATATATATATATATTTTTTAACAATAAAATATATACTTTAGAAGTGAGTTTCAGAATTTTTATTATAGTTTAAAAGTTTTATTATATCCCTCCAAATGTATCATGTCACCCTCTGCTTTTGAACATTCATTCTTAATTATATATTTTTATTATTTTTTAAAGCTATGTAAGTGCATATTATCTTTCTAATAGTACATTTATATTAAAATAAATTTAAAAGAATAAAAACATGCACATAGAACTTTTAATGTTTTTTCTGCACTCTAGCAGATTATTTTTTGTGTAACTTACTCAGCTAGTGTGTAAATCCAGTAGTGTTGTGGGGAGAAAATGTATAACAAAGAATTTAGGAGTGGGTGAGCAGTGAACAAGTCCAAGGAGTAGAAGTCAGCCTCCATTTCTGGAAGTTGAGCGGTGAAGGACAGCTGGGAAAAACAGTTCTGTAGGATAGCAGGGTTAAGAGAAGATGTTTCTAGTAAAAAGGAGATGATCCTACTTGGAGAAAGCATGGCAGGAGGTGGTAAAAAGGAAATGACTATTAGTCAAGGATAGAGTTAACTGGATGGAATTAATGTCACTAGTACCTGAAGAAATGTGTCTTAGAAAGATTGCTCCTTTCTCTAAGACACAAAGGAAGGAGAGAAGTAGAAGATGTAAGAATGACCTTCCCATAATCATGAGAGTAGTCAAGATTACCCCCGAGAATGTGATTCGTCTTCTCTGCAGTAGCCGGGTTACTCACCAAGAGTGGTGGGACCTGGGATGAGGCAGGAGGCTTGAGAAGAAGGGTGAAGTTTTACAACAGTTGCCCTGGGAAATGAGGGAAGGATAGATGAAAGTGGCAATGATGACTTGGCAGAGATTAGAGAACTTAATATGCCCCAGTTCAATGGGAGAGAGGAGGTTGGAGAAATTCATTATTTTACATGGCTAGCCTCAATATTTCCTTTTAAAATTCACCCACTATTGCTTTGAGCCAGATTCTAAAATAGGGCATTCTTCATGACACTTTAAGGATATCTTCACTGATCCAGAAAAGAAAGCATTAGATAGAACCACCATGACTTTGTAAAGAGCAGATGTGGCAGAGGGAACAAATGACGTCCTCAGATGTGTTTTCTTTGACCAGCACATTGTTTGTAAAAAAATTAAATTCCTAACAGTCATGCCCTCTCCAGAGCCCACCCCAAATATGTTACACTCTGCAGCTTCACACATTAAACTGAGTTCCTGGATCAGTGAAGACAGCTCATTTCCCTCCACTTCATTGTATATTTCAAGCACCTGGATATATGGCCCGAAATTCAGTGCTATATATAAACATGGGTGTACATGGTTTGTTTGTTTGTTTGTTTAACAACTATGAGTAAACAGTGAAGATTTAATCACCTTTTAAAATCTTTTTTTCCTTTGATAGCTTCTACAAGCATTCCAAATGTCACAGAGATGAAAACCAACATGAGCCTGGGCTTGACCCTCACAAGGAACGTGGGAACCGGAGGGTTTCTCGTGAGTGTTTTCTTTTGAAATCTTCATTTTTTTCGAGAAAGTATGTAGTCAGTGTCTTCTCACAGTCCTTCCCATCAAATCAGATCTTGAGGTTTAAATGTTAGAGCTTGTTTTTTGATACATTATACTATTCGGATTTGTAAAATAAAGTAACATTCTGTTGACCTGTGGACTTCTCATGATATTCAGCAAAACCATTGCCACGGAAGGTCTTGAAAAAAGGGAGCAAAAGGAACACTAATTCTTTGCCCCTGGAGAGTGTACTTAGTATTTGTTGATGGCAGCAGAATCCCAGGTCTCATTTCTACTTCCTGTAGGAACATTCAAGATAGGTACTGCTAATTCCGAAAGCAGGCTTCAAAGCTAAGAGGTATTTTTGTTTTTAATCATTTCCTGAAACCGTTGGTTCATCTGATATTATTTAAGTCATGGTGAGGTGTCTCATCTTACTGCATGTCAGCGTTTACCCTCATTTCATTTCTAAAATGCTATGAGAAGACATCACAAATCAGTGAAATGGAATGCCCTATTTAACAAGTGGTCTGGGGACAATTAATTGGTTAATAGTTTGCATATCCAAATAGGCTTTTCAAGTGAATTAAAGAGCTCATATAAAAAACTAGAACAAAATGGAAATTTTCTTTCCTTTTTTTTTTTTTTTTTTTTTTTGTGACCGCACTCAGCCAGTGAGCGCACCAGCCACCCCTATATAGGATCCGAACCCGGGGCGGGAGCACCACTGCGCTCCCAGCGCCGCACTCTCCCAAGTGAGCCACAAGGTCGGCCCCAAAATGGAAATTTTCTGAAGGAGGGAAGAATTTCTGAGATTAGAATTAATGAAAGAAATAGTATAGGAAATTGTTGAAAAGATCTAACTATAAAAACATGAAAACCACCACATACAAAAAAAAAAAAAAAGCTTAAAGGCACATAAAAAATCTTATTTGCAATGTTCACCAGCTCATATAGGTATATTCTGGTTGTATAGTCCTGCTAAAACTTCCTTGGAAAGCCTAATTTAATTTCACATTGGTTTTATCTGTACCATTGACATGCTAACTTAAAAGCCTGTGTTTTATAACTGGATTATTCTAAAACTGGAATCAATTTTGAACAATGTCATCCTGTTTTTACTAACAGGTATTAGTTTTCAGATGACTTTGCTATCATTAAGTAAATTAAATACTGCTTATAATATGTGTTACATCAGTGCATAAATGAATATTGCAATGAATCTTCATGGTTTATGATATTCAAGTCTTTGTAATAACATTACTTTCTTCTTTTGTGTGCTTGTTTGTTTTTAAGTTTGAATAAATCAGAAAGAGAAACATATTGAGATTTAGTGATTATAGTATGTACCTCAGAATTTTTAATCTGTAACTCCAGATAAATAAAGTAAAAGAAAATTGCAATAGAAATTGAGAGATTAATTTGTCGATGTAATGAGCAGAGAGGGAGGGGGGAGAGAGAGAAAAAAGAAGAAGAAAAAGAAAAGAAGAGAGAGAGAGAGAGAGAGAGTCAAAATTTCCTTTACATACCTAAAAGGTCAAAATCATAAGATACTCTAAAGAATTAAGTGGAAAAGACTGACAATCATCACATTTTTTTGAACCTTCTTAAGTTCTGGGCTTAAAGAAGGAATGTAGTTCTGGCATTAACAATTGGCATATTCTAATTTCAACTTTTTAATGCTGTTTTCCATTGCTTTTAAAACAAAAAAAAATCTTGAATACTTCATGAGTTATTTTCCAAGGTGATAAAAAAAAGTTTAAAAAAACAACTTAGGAATGGAGATATAGGAATTTAGGATATAGGAATCAGTAATTGGTAAAATAAACTAACCAAAGGTATCAATAATGATTTTCTGCTAACTAATTGGCAAAATGAACCATTTTTATAGGGGAAAACTGTGCTTTGTTCATTGAGCATGAAATATGACCAGCTGCTTCCCCTTTGAGCTACCAACAGTTAAACTGGGTCAAATAAATTCCCTTTTGTTTTTCCAATTGCTTCTTGCAAGTCCCCACTCTTCTGTTTAGTTTTAATGACTGATCAACAGCTTTACGTAATGTTAAGCTTTGCAGATATTTTTTCAAATCTTTACAAGATTTCTGTTTCTCACTTTTCTCCTTTTTCATCTACCACTTTTAATATTATTCAATCTAATATTTCCCATGTGATTTAATCATGACTTAATCAGGAGTTCTTGGCATTCAAGGGCTGCTGAAAAGGAGAGAATTGAGATGCCATTAATGGAGATATTAAGAATTGGATAATGTATGGTGTGGGCAAGGAGACAAATGCCAGCCAGCTTTGGTGGCTGAAATAAATTAGAGAGTGGTAGTGGGGGGTTTTTGAAGTTCTGGAAGTAAGGAGATACTTCACAGCAAAGTTAAAAACCAGCAGTCAATGAGCCTCCTTTGTGTTTGTTTAGCATACAGAGTGTTTTTAAATCTGTTACTTTGCATACAAAATTTGTCCTCTCTGACTCTGCTTGAAAAATTGAAGAATCTGTCAACACAAGGCCTGTTTCACAGCAGTGGGTGAGCAGGAACCATAGTAACCTGCCCATGACCATAAGGCATGGGTTCTTCATTCACCCTGGTGTCTATACTGGCCCTGAGCACCTTGCGAGGGCTCCTGCCAGGCCCTGGGAGGCCTTTGGGTTTATGGTTCTGCTGAGTAGTGTGAACGGGCAGGAGGAAACTGATGCTCAGTGATAACAAGGATAGTGATGCTGTCTAACAATTATATAGCACTTGCTGTATATCTGGCACTGTTGTAAGTGTTTTATATTTATAGACCCATCTAATCTTCACAACAACCTTAAAAGATAGGAGGTATGATTATCCCCATTTTACAGATAAAGCACCTGAGACAAAAAATGAATTTTGCACTCTTTTCCTCCTGGGTGTTCTCTGGAAGAAAGGCACCCCTTTCCTCTAGCTTGGAGGGCGACCTGATGGGCTCTTTCCATTACTGACATCTGTCCCTTGCCAGTCTTGTCCCCTCCCCCTGGGGGCCTGCCACTGGGCACAGAGCCTCTGCCACCTTCTCCATCATGTCTGCTTGTCCCAGTGAACTCTCATCCAAAGGCATTTTTGACTTGTTAGTTGCAAGAGTTGACAATTCCAAGTATTTTGAAAAGAATAGAAATGTCTGAGTTCTACAGAGAAGTAGAGGGTTAGCATGTTCTGTGTGTTCCCATTTACCATTTTCTTGTTTCTTTGAAGACGTGTGGTCCTCTGTGGGCACAGCAGTGTGGAAGTCAGTATTACACGACTGGGGTTTGTTCTGACGTCAGTCCCGATTTTCAGCTCCTGGCCAGCTTTTCACCTGCAGTTCAGAGTAAGTTATGGGTGTGTAGAAGGTCTGAGCAGTGCCTTATGTTTAAAGGAGGGGGGAAAAATTTACCAACAAGGGCTGCTGAAGCCCTCAAGTCTCATGTTTATGTGGTATAAAGTTTGACTTACCTAGAGAAATCTGCATTTTTCATCTTTTTCTATGTAGCCTGCCCTTCCCTCATAGATGTTGTGGTTGTATGCGATGAATCAAACAGCATTTATCCCTGGGAAGCAGTAAAGAATTTTTTGGAAAAATTTGTACAAGGCCTAGATATAGGCCCCACAAAGACACAGGTATGGACATCAGTAATACATAAACTAGCCTATGGCTTTCTTTCTGAGAAAATGTTGTTAGATATGAAGTCTTAATTTTTGCATTTGTCAAATCCCATATTAAATGCACTCAGTGATAACCTTGAAAGTTAACTGAAACTTGTACTATGTTGGGTTATTCTAACCTATGAGTTTGTCCAATGCTGGGCTTTTGACTTTAGAGTTCTATTTCTGACACAGACAACAAGGGTATGGGATATAACATTTTAATCCCCTTTTAGTTGCCTATTTTTGCCCCTGTAACACAAGTTTATTAACACTTTTGAAAATTCAATATGTATTTTCATATTTTTCTTTATGTCCATTAGGACTAATAATGAATTTATTCTGTTTACTTTTTTCTGGTAAAACAATTTTCTTTGAATTCTGGGATTTTGATGAATAAGTCACTAAACATGAATCCTCCGTTTATTATTTTATAGTCTTTTATCATAAAGTCCAGCCTATCATATTTTACACAGGACAAGTGGTTTCAATAATTTGATATAGCTCTCTGTTTTAAGTCATTAATTTGCATTTATACCTTCTTGAGGGAGGCAACCAAAACTCAGGAGCAGAAGCTTTAAGCTTCTGTAACAAGACTGAATAGCATTTATTTTAAAAGTACAGTTCTTGCTTTTTTGGTTTGTTGGGGTTTTGTTTTGTTTTTTTCCCCTTTCTTATTGGATCCTCTATTTCATGGGTCATTCTGGTTGTACCAGCACACTGAACCAACATCAGCGGGGATCAATTTAGAGTTATCAGTATACAAAGGTACTTGAAAAAGTTTGTGGAAAAATAGAATTAAAAGACAATACAACCTCTCCATGAACTTTCTGAAGTACCCTCGAATGTTCTTAGATTGCATCTGATAATCCAGTGTCCAACATCTGGTAACAATTGTTAGAATATTTTTCCCTAAATGCTTTGTAGTTATCTTTATTGAAATTTGCTTTTCTGCTTTCCTATATAGTATTGTAAGATATTGTTACACATTTTTCCCATTGAGGTCACTTTTCAATACCAAGACGACATTAATGCCTGCTGAAAATTGAAAGTTTTACTGTGAGTTTTTGCCAGAAAATTCTGATAATAAGACTAGTCATAGCACTGATTTCTAGGGGCCGGCCCGTGGCTCACTCGAGAGAGTGCGGTGCTGATAGCACTGATTTCTAGAGAGTACCACTATTAAGGGCCCTCATAAGAGAAGCTTTCACATGCATCTGCTTATTTTCTCTGCCTCTAAATGAATTACCCCTCGTAACATGACTTACTTTATTTAACAGTCTTTAATATAGTATGACCTCCTCTTCTGTGTCTTCCTACATCTCTAGAAGTGATTTAACTCAGTCTCTTTTCTTACAAACTAAATTTGACCTTTCTGTGAGTCCTAATATACCACATTTCTTTAAATCCTTCCCCTTTCTCACACCAGAAGTCCTGGAGTTGTGTCATGGGTTTATTATCATCTTCCTCTAGTATCAGACTTTGAAATCCTCAGAGTTATTTTTGATCCTTTACTCTCTCTCAGGTCTTACATCTTATTTTAAAGAAAGGGGTTCAGGAATATATTTCTTGCCATCTTCCCAGTGCCTAGCTTACTGCCTCCCTAGCAAAAAGTAGCAGATTGAACTCAGAAATCCAGACATTGCCCCTTCCACCTTCTTTCCATACTGACCTCTGGTTCAGAGAGCCTCTTACCCCTGACCCCTCAGTGCCACTTCCTATTCTGGAAACCCTATCTCCTAGGCTTAGAGGATGAGTTCAGTGCCTAAGAACAAGCACGCTAATAGAAGGGTGTGACTTTCTTGATCTGAATGTTCAGAGAATGTCCATGAACATCTTGTTCAGAAGTTCTTTCTCTTAGATCTCTCATATAAGATTCTCTCTAATCATATTTTTCTTGGGAGGCCAGAAACTCCTTGCTCCATATGCATATATAGCAGTTCCCCTCCAGAAATGCTGAAGATCATAACAGAGGAAACACAGCACAATAAATAGGCCCAAATTGATCACATTGATTAGGAGCACATTGGCTTTCTTATATTTGGCTCTAATTCGTTATTACATAATTACTCTCAATTGATGAGATGTTACCTTCCATCTATGATTGCTTATAGTTGTTTGCAATCTTATATCCATTGGTAATTAGAAAGGTTATTTATATTCATTTAATCTTCCTGTTATAAACCTTGTTCTAATATTTGCCTATATTAAAATATTACAGGGAAAAGCTTAAAAATCTATAGTCGTTATTCTTTTTTTTTCCTTTTTGTCTTTTTTCGTGACCGGCAATGGAACGCAACCCTCAGTGTCGCGCCCATACCGGACCGGCAACGGGATCGCAACCCTCGGTGTTGCGCCCGCACCTCGCTCAGCCAGTGAGCGGCCGGTCTGTATGTGGGATCCGAACCCTCGGCAGGAGCGCCGCTGCGCTCCCAAGCAGCGCACTGTAGCAGTGCGCCACCGGGCCGGCCCTATAGTTGTTATTCTTGAGAACCAAATCATAAGCTATTGCACATCATCTCTCTTGGCCATAGTGCCACTATTATATACTGATGACCTCTAACAAAGAATCATTCCTTGAAAGAAAAGTAGCTATCAAGAACAAAGTTGGAAGGGATTCCTTTAAGCTATTAGTCCATGTCTAAATGCGCTTTTGATTTTTATCACATGTGTTAAATAGAAGTTATTTATAACTTAATGACAGCCCATTAACAAACTTCTACTCTTTTAAAGGTGGGATTAATTCAATATGCCAATGAGCCAAGAGTTGTGTTTAACTTGAACACTTTTAAAACCAAAGATGAAATGACCATAGCAACATCCCAGACATTCCAACATGGTGGGGACCTCACAAACACATTCAAAGCAATTCAATTTGCAAGGTAAGTTTTGATGCTAATAGACCAATATTTTGATAACATGAAAGTGCTAATATGTGAGAAAAAGGAAGTAAATGACAAAGAAAAATACTAACAATGGTACCCACACTAAACACAGAAGTAATAAAGAAAACAAGTCTGAGTATTCAGTGACTTGAATCCTTTGAGAAGGCAGTTGGGAAATGAAGTTAAAATATTTGATTCTAGGATTTTTATATTACATGATTCTTATATGATTTAACAAGAAATAAATGAAATGAGAAGACCTTAGGTTAAAACAGTAGGAAATGGAGCAGTCTGTCATTATTTGTTAATATTTATCAGAGCTCCAGACAAATTGAGCTAATGAAGCATTTTATGCAAATTAACAAGGGCCATAGCATCTTATGAGTCTGAATTTAATCGAATGAGTTTATTATACATACTACAATCCGTGTGAATTACAAAGTGTGAATTTTACAACTCTGTAGCTCCCTCCTCATTCTTCCCTCAGTTTGTCTATTTCTCCAGCTCCTTCATCTTCATTCTCTTTTAACCAGATCTCTACAAAAGATGTTCAACACTTTCCTGTTGTTAAAAAATAAATGAAGATAATGAGCTTGCCTTCTCTTAAACCACTTTCTGCATTTTCATCTTGTGCATTCCTTCTTTCTAGATCCTTTCAAAAGTGTCTATTCTCCCTTCCTCCCCTTCCAGGAAGCCCGTAGGTCTCCCCTAGCTGAGCATGGCCTTGACCACCCAACACCGTGGTCCTGCCCCAAGCCTCATCCTCTCCAGCTCTTCTGAGCACTTGATAATGATGAACAAACACTGCTATTCTGAACCCGCAAACTTCTGGAATCCCTGTCAACTTTGTATCAACAACTTTTGCCTCTTCTCTGGCTACTTTTCCTATTTTTTTCTTCATTAAGCAGACCTCTCTCATCTATAGCCCTTCTCTCTTAGGAGCTGTGTTCACTCACATGGAGTCAGCATCAGTTCTATGGGGTTTACCCACTGCGATGCTGTCAGCCCTGAACTCTCTCAGAATTCTCTCAGACATCCAGCTGATGCTGAATATCTTTATCTGGAGTGTTGGTTCACTTATCAAATTTGACATATTTTAAACTGGCCTTTTTCTTCTCCCTACCCCTCCTCGGGACTTGGCCATTTTGATCCATGCCTCTGCCTTATTCCTGCAGCCACTCAGACTAAAACTCTGATGGTTTTCTTTATTCTTTCCACCTCCTCCTTAGATCACACATCTGGTCAGTCACCACATCCTGTCATTTCTATTTTTGAATTTCCCATTATATCTGCTCCTTCTTTTTTCTATGTGTATATTTTATTTGCTGCTTCCATCAACTGGCAACTCTCCACTTATGTCTCAAAAGCAGATTCTCCACAAGAGAAGATTTGATCGGTTTGGTTAATTTTTATTGTCTCTATCAAGATATCCTTTTGGGCCAGGTCACTCATAAGCTGATAGCCAGTCACTCGGTTGGTTGCCATTAGGTGAAGTGCCCGACCTGTTCTAGTAAACTCGACTAGGGAAGAATAAGTTGGCATAGAAAATGGCATTCCTGGAATTAGAAACTGCTGAGGGACCCTGTTTTCAGCAGGGAACATGGGTGTGGCTTTTTTCCCTGGAAGGAGCCGGGGGACCTGGCAAGCTTTCTTCTCCAGTGTAACGCCACTGTCTGTTGAGGTAGGAGTATAGCCTTTTCTTTTTTTTTTTTTTACCTTTTTTGTCTTTTTTCGTGACCGGCAACGGATCACAACCCTCAGTGTCGCGCCCGTACCGGACCGGGACCGGCAACGGGATCGCAACCCTCGGTGTTGCGCCCGCACCTTGCTCAGCCAGTGAGCAGCCAGTCTGTATGTGGGATCCGAACCCTCGGCGGGAGCGCCGCCGCACTCCCACACGGCGCACTGTAGCAGTACGCCACCGGGCCGGCCCAGAGTATAGCCTTTTCAAAACTTTGGTTTTCTCTCCTGTGCTCCTCTCTCATCTATCTCCCTCTGACCACACTATTTCCCAAGCTGACAGGAGTTAGTCTTCTCATTGCTAGGAGAATCACCCAACTATTTATTTTTTCTCTCTTTTTTTTTTTTTGTCTTTTTCTTTAAAACACCGAATAGAATTCTGACACTCTTTCAGTAAATATTGCCATGTTTCCATTCACACTGTTTTATTGAATGTCTGAGGTTGCAATTTATTGTCCCATATACTGCAGGTAATTTTGAGGCACAGTGTCTGTCCTCAAAAACCTTATAATCATATTTGAGATCTATAGTGTGTCCTAACAAGTAAGTCACTCAAAAAAGATCTGATGTGAGTACTGTAATTCAAATTTCTGTATTCTACAATATAGAGTACAGAAGACATTTTAGGAAATAAAATGATGTGCTCACACAGAAAAAGTTTAATGGATTTGATTATATAAAAATACAAAACTTCTGTACATAAGTAATTCCATTAAAATTCAACAGGTGATCAATGAACTGGGGAAATTATTTACAATGTATATGACAAGAGGTAATTTTCCTTATTAACAAAGAAATCTTACTAATCATTAATAAAATGATGAACAACACAAAGAAAATTGGGCAAAGGTATAGAAAATTGAGTTCTTAGAGAAAGAAATACAAATGGCTACTAAACATATAAAAATATTCACTCTTCCTTCATTACTAAAAAATGCATATTAAAACAACAATTATATTTTATTTCTCACTGACCTAAATACCAAAAATTAAGAAGTTTAAACATCCTTATTGTCAGTGGAGGTGGAGAAACTTCTGTACTAATGGTAATATAAATTGGTGACATTTTTGAAGGGCAATTTGACATTACTTACCAAAATTTGAAACATGTATATTCTTTGTCCCAGTAATTTCATTGCTCTGATACATTTGAAAAGTATGCTAAGGTATATATGCAGAGACATTCATTACAGCATTTATTGTAAAGTCAGAAATGGACTAATGTCCAATAATGCGGGACTGGTTAAGTAAATTATGGTGCCTCCAAATAGTAAAATATTTTGCAGTCTTTAAAAAAGAAACAAGGGGGACCGAGCCTGCGGCGCACTCGGGAGAGTGTGGTGCTGGGAGTGCAGCAGCGCTACCGCCGTGGGTTCGGATCCTATATAGGGATGACCGGTGCGCTCACTGGCTGAGTGCGGTGCGGCTGGTCTCAAAAAGGACAAAAAAAAAGAAGAAACAAGGGCTTAATAGGTGCTGATATGGAAAGATCTCCATCAAAATGAAAAAAACTGTATGTCCTCATTCATGTAAAAGTTTAAGGGATAGACTATGCATATATCTATATTACATCTAGATAAACCATTTTCTAGAAGGAAACATAAGAAACTGATCATAGTGGTTACTTTTGGAGAAGGGGCTTTGTGTCAGATTTTTGTTTTATACTTTTCCAAATGCTTGAATTTTTTTGGTCATGTATAAATATTACTTTTTAAAAAATAATTAAATATTGAAAAATTAAACATGTTTAATGAGTAAAATTTATGACAGTAATATCTGTTGACTAATAGTAATACATTTAATTTTCTTATAAGAAGGTAAGGATAAGAATTTCCGGGGTAAATACACAAACATGCACACACACATCCACACACACCACACACACACACACACACACACACACACACACACACCCACACCATGAAACCCGTAGAAATTATTTTTAACATCAAGCAAGATTAAATTTTTATATGTTTCTTTTCAAGCTACAATAGGACATATTTAAATATATCACCAGAATTGACATGGAGAGAAATTTTGTCACAGTGGGTTGTGCTTGAATAAGCTCGTTTCATATTTCTGTTTCAAACCAGAGGTTCACATATTAGCTTCATCTTTTGATGGTGAGTCTTTAATTTCATCTGCCACAGAGATTACGCTTATTCAGCAGCTTCTGGTGGGCGACCAAGTGCTACCAAAGTCATGGTTGTTGTAACTGATGGTGAATCACATGATGGGTCAATGTTGAAAGCTGTGATTGATCAGTGCAACAAGGATAATATACTGAGGTTTGGCATAGCAGTAAGTGGCTTTCTTTTTACTTGTCGTGCATCTGATGAGTAGACTTTGTTCCTTTATAGCATCACTTCTCAAGGCTGCACTTTCCCATTGTGTTCATTGTTCAATATAGAAGAAAATTTTTACTCTGATTTTCAGTCCTGTCAACCAAATTAATGATTGTGGAAATGTTGCTTGATTTACTTCTCCAGAGGGCCTATTGTGTTCAGAAATAGACTAGAAAGCACTAATTGGAAAATTGGAGTACAGCAATAATGACCTTTTTTCCTCTTCCTCTATTTTCAAGGTTCTTGGGTACTTAAACAGGAATGCCCTTGATACTAAAAATTTAATAAAAGAAATCAAAGCAATTGCTAGTATTCCAACAGAAAGGTACTTTTTCAATGTGTCTGATGAAGCTGCTCTACTAGAAAAGGCTGGGACTTTAGGAGAACAAATTTTCAGCATTGAAGGTAAAAGAACGCCTTTCAAGGACTTTCTTTCAAAAACTTTCTTCAAGAATTCTTTATTTTATTATCACATTCTTTATCTATTAATGTTAACTTGTATACTTTGTATAAAAAGAAATAAATCAGTAAGAAAAATGAATGAAAAACGTGAATAAAT